ACTCGCAGCTGTCATTTTGGCCAGTTAATAAGCAGTAAAATACTTGTCTTGATCCAAAAAAGAAATGTACATTTTTTTCAGTGCTATCTTTTTTATGGTTGGCTGCTAAAAATCTTCTGGAAAACACTGGTACTTTGTACAATGGATGTGGCTTGGACAGGTTCTTGAGCTCCTTTGAAGTGAAGTCTGCAAATTGTAAAGTGGAGTCTGAAAATTTTTGTTGGGCAGTATCATTGAGCTTAACACACTAATTGCCAAAGCCTGATTGATGATTCTCCCCTATAGCTGCTACACTTTTCCTTGCTAATTATTAACAATAATTTGGTGTTGTATCAAGATAACTTCTACTTAACAAGTTTGAGTACTAACTGTTTGCTGGGTAATCTATGGATATTATGGGAAGAGGTAAAAAAAGGTAGTCTGTTTACGAGCCTAGTGGCTCACTAGGCCGGTGCTTAACTCCAGTTTCTGTAACATGAAGCAACTAGGAGTATTTCTACTCTCCCCTGGACGGGATGCCAGTCCATCACAGGGTTATCCCCCAGCATTAAATTGCCGGTACCCATTTAAACATCTGGGTGAAGAGAGGAACTGTGAGAGTAAAGTGTCTTGCCTAAGAACACAACACAATGTCCCGGCCGGGGCTCAATCGGGAATCGAGCGCACTCCGGATCATGGGAAGGAGTTACATTTTAATGACTCTTTGGAGTTCAGGGTTAAATATTGGATGGAAATCCAGGCTTCAGCCATTCTAAGAAACCATCTGACAACTCAGGGAATAAAGATTGGTTCCACAATAATCTTTTTGTTGTCAGTTTGCAACATAGATGCACAGTTTTTCTAAGGCTAATTGTCTTGTTTTTGTCATTGAAAATTTCATCAGGATGTCATACCCAAAGATGCTTTAAATGTTTTTTATTTATTGATTGATTTATTTATTTATTATAGGCTCTGAAAAGAGTGTGAAGCTCATAGTTTAATTTACCAGGCTTTAACCCTTTAAATCCTAAGATCTGATTGTTAATTCTCACCTCTAGCTGTTACACTTTTCCTTGTAAGTTAGCCACAAGAGATTGGTGTTAGATCAAGATAACAACTTCTTCCTGATAAATTTGAGTATTCTCATTACCTCTTTTGTGGATAATGTCTGGATAGACAGGGCTGTGGTCTAACAGTGCCCGTTGGCCCCTGGCACCTTACTTTACTCTTGGGCGACTCAGGAATCTTAGTTTTTTCATAAAAAGCATATGCTGAGCACCCTGGATTTCACAGTTTTGGAGCAGTGGGCTCCCTTCAATTTTTCTTAGAGCATAGCTTTGACAGAGAAATCACATGTTTATCACTTATGGGATTAAAAGGGTAAAAAAAAAATAGAAAAAAAAAAGACTTGAGTTCAGCAAGTGTACAAAAATGCAGGAGACAACATGAAGATTATGAAACAGCTGCTTGTATTTAGTACTTCTGATCAATAAACTCAGAGTCTCACGGCAACAATTTTCTTATGTATGTGTGTGTGTGTGTGTGTGTGTGTGTGTGTGTGTGTGTGTTTTGTTTTGATTAAAAGAAATGACAACTTTTTTTCAAGCCAAAAAACTTTTTCTGACATGTTTTGTATCTCTCCAGGTTTACAGCATCAGAATTGAGGAGCTGGTTGAGGGAAAGTGGGAATCATTCCAGGGAACTGATGTGCAGTTGGAGTTCTTCAGGATCGATCCATTTGTGAGAACAACACTCAACAAGTCAAATGGTATTCTTATCAAAAGCTTAAAAATTGTTTATCATCACAAAGGCCTGTTTGTGTTTGGAAGAGTTCGTTGCAGCTTTATAGAGCACCATGGTGTATGGTGAGATATCTATTAAGGACCTAGTGTTTTACTCCAATGCTTTCTCTGAAGTAACACAGCAGGTTAAAAATGGGGAAGCAAAATAATTTAACTACACTACTGTTATAGTATCAATCAACATACAGAGTACAAGGATATATGCAGTTTTTTTTTTTTTTTTTTTAACTTCAGCCATGATGTTTTTTTATGGTTACAGATGGCCTCTTTGTTGCAAAGTTCAAACTTCCTGATGTGTATGGGGTGTTCCAGTTTAAGGTGGAATACAGCCGTGTGGGTTACACTTACCTCCACAGCAAAACTCAGGTATTAATGTGTAATTTTTGGGTTCTTTCAGTTATATTTGAGTGGTTGATTTGTACCATTTTGGTACACAACACTGTTGAAAAAAATCTTATTACATGTAGTCAAATGAATTAAATTTTCAAATCTCCTACATCTTTGTAAGAGGCAGTCTTCATGATCATCATTCTGCATTCTTGAGATTAAAGTTATTTGGGCACATAAACTTTAGTCATGGCACATTTTTAACTTAGATTTGCTTATTTCAATTGCAAGCTTTCAGTTGGAATCAGTTTGAGAAATACCATTTTCATGAGTGTTCAATTCTTCCCATCTCAGCATGTTGCTATCCTCGTGTTTGCAACAATACAGAAAGGAGTGATCGTACTTAATGTTCAGGGCTCGACACTAACTTTTCAACTTACTAGCCAAGTGGTTATGCAAAATCTTAGATGTTACAAATCTTTAGATGTTACAAATATTTCAGTTTGTTTACCAGCCAAACTAGCTGGTGAAAATCAAAAACCACTGGCCAAAACTGAATTACTACTAGTCTGTGGCTAGCAGGCTACTGTAAGTGTTGAGCCCTGATTGTTCCTTTTTTTTTCTGCACTGAAATATTTTTACAGAGGGACAAGCATATTTCTGGAAGAACCCAGCATTTGTATTGTTGTATCCCAACTCCTTGCAATTCTAAGCACCAGTTGAGGGTGTTAAAACCTAAGACAACTGCCATTAACAGACCAACATCCATGGGTTATAATAAGACCCTTTCTTGTGAAAGATTAATTTCAAGTTGCTCTGGACTCTTTTCAGGTCTCTGTACGTCCCAGAGAGCACACGCAGTATGAGCGGTTCATTCCATCTGCCTACCCCTACTATGCCAGTTCTTTTTCTATGATTTTGGGCTTGTTCATCTTTAGCCTGGTATTCCTACATCATCGAGATGAAGTAAAGAGCAAGGTGGAATAACCAGGCTCTCTCAAAGCTTGGATTTAACACCATTTGTAGAATTTTGCTTTTTTAAATCAATAAAATGTGTAACTTGTTACATGCTATAGAACTCATAAATAATCCTTTAGCTGGTCACAAACATGTTCATATCCGCACCCCCCTTTCCTCTTGCATGGTGGGAAATTTCTCCTTAACTCCAGGTTAAGGAGAGCTTTGAGAAAATCTCTCCCAAATTCTCAGGGGGTTGAATTTCTGCAATTATTCTTTTTTCATACAAAAATACAAAGAGAGTACATATTTTTCCTGTTCTCTCTGGACCATTGTCCAAGACAGCCACAGAGTTTCAGACAAACTGACTTGAAAAGAAACCTACATTTGTAGTTCAATATCTGACTTGTTGAGTCATAAATGTTGTTTTATTAATGACTTCAATTTTTATTTGTCCATGAAGATAGGTCATATTGTCAGGATTTTCACTATGAAATGTAGAAGCACAAGAAAAGAGTAGGGTAAAAAAGGAGTATTACCCATGTCTGAAAAAGAAACTTTCTCCAGCCATCAAAATGTTGCTGACTGACAAAGAGAGTTTTTGTTATTTAAAGGCACACTTAAAACTCTTTACACCTGCACATCAATACTCCTTACTGAGCTCAATAAATTTCCTATGGTAATTACCTGGAGAATTTGTTGTGCAATCACAATTTTTTTCAGTTTTCAAACAGTCAACAAAATATCAATGTGCACAATGCTGGCTTTCATCTTCAGGCAATTTCTCAAACTGAAGTGGAAACTTGTACAGTTGTAAACAGCAATCTAGTTCACATTACTGAAATTTTGACAGATCAGAAATCCAATGGTGAAGGAAGGTCATTGCATCATTTCATTTGTAGTGTAAACAAGCAGACATAACATAATGGCATCACAATCAGGTCAGTGCAAGGACACAACCATGGCTCACACTACTGCCACTTAAGGGCATAACAAAATAGTGATATGACGTTGATTTTCAATAGGCAAACAACGTGGGTATGCAGACATGGAAACTTAACAACAGCAACATAACCACAATACTATAAACTAATTGTGATTTTGACACGGCAATACCATATTATATTGACGGCTAGTTGGGAGAAAATATATTTCGTATTGGGCTCTGTCGCTTAGCGACTCCGCCCAGTACGATATACTTTCTCCCAACTAGCCATCAATACAATGTGGTATTGCCGTCTCAAAATCGCAATTAGTTTTGTATCGCGATCCATCATTTATAAGGATAAATAAAACTGTAAAATAATCAACCTGTGCCTGAACGAAATATCAATTCTTTCTACCTGCGAAACGTATCCATGTAACACTAATTTCGCACGCAAATAACTTTGTTGTGGGTAATTTGGAATTCCCCGCAAGTTTATTGTCTTTGTTACCATAAAATGAGTTGATTGGTACCGAAAAGTGTTGAAAATTACACAGGAATGGAGTCTGAAGAGCCATTTGGTGATGAAATACCAAAATTTGATATTTGTGGGACTGTTTTTAAAGAGTTATTTAAAGACAAAAGTGAGACAAATACCACAAAATATTGATGGCTCGTGCATAGCCAAAACTATAAGAAGATCGCAATACATAGTGACAAAGACTGGCCCTATACTGCTTGCGCCAAGGATGGATAACACCATCCCTTAGATAAATCTATAAGGTGAATTGCTCTGTGCACTTTGTCAAATCGCATCTTCTGGATACCAATCCATCTGTTTAATACCAGTATTTCCCCTTTGCACAACTGAGCCCCAAAGTTTTCTTTTTGTTTATAGTGTTGTTGGGCCATTATGAAGCAAATGCTAAAAGGGCTTAATTATCAGCCACTCACCCCACTTCCATTCCTAATTATAGTTTACCTGATGAGTTAACAAGAGAACCACACAGTATAATTTAATTGTGTATTTAATAATTTTACACCTCACCACATTATGATGGAAACCTAAGTCGTATTTACGCAAAGGTAAGAAATATGGATTAAAAATATGAAAAATGTGCATGTATGTACAAAATAATATAAACATCACAAAACACAAGTCTACCTTTCTATGGACTACAGGTTGGTCAATTTTCAATATTAAACTTATCAGGTAAGTCCTAGTTACAACACATGCTGCAATATATTATTAATACTTTTGGATTGTTCCTTTAATTAGCCCCTCAGGAAGGAAAAAGAGGGAGAAAACTATAAATTTAAACTGCACATAAAATGGACTTGTAACCTATCCTAACTTTGTTCACCTACCCCACCCCTAACCCAATGTTAATGCTAACTTGTCATCATTTGACTGTTGTTGGGTTTTTAAGGGAGGGGTAGGTGAACAGTTGCTTGAACACAGACAGGCTGGAACACACTAAGCATTACATTAATTTCCTCTAGCTGTGTGAAAAAAAATCATTGGGAAAAGTTTTCCTTATATATGACTAGACCCCAAAAATAATTTGTGTGACTCTTAGGGGGGGCGGGGCAGCAATTGCCTTGATTGCATACTCCCATTACTGACTTTACTGTGTATATTTGTGTGGAAATCTATCTACAAACTGTGTTAATTCTTTAATTCTAAACTATTGCACATGATAAAAATGTTTGATTTCATTGAGTGTGCAGTAAGAGTATGATGGGGTCAGTCAGGTTTAATAACCAAAGGTGTGCACAAAGCTGCTGTAAACACATTACAGGGACATTGCAGTGACAGCTAACTTTGGGGTTTATAGAGAATTTTTGTGTAAATCTTTGCTCTGTGACAGAGCTTCGTAGCTGCTGTGCACTGCACTAATTCTAACTGGAATTTTTGTGACAATCATGGTAATGAAATAACATGATTTGGAATAATTATGCACTTAGCTGTTTAACACAGATATCTATATCAGGGACTTGTCACCTAGTCTGTTCCAGACTTGATGCAACTGCACGTACAAAATTAGCTTTCAACCTGAAAAGACCACTGAGACTAAATTCTAGGTACTATGCCAATACCACTGTTAATCCTTAACACCCTAATATCAGTATGCATATTCTCCATACTGTTCACTATACACTTCCTAAGGTTCTGATGAGGAGAGCTTCTTTAACAATCAAGAGCTTTAGATTGTGATCAATTCCTTTATTCTCATGACCCTTATGTGTGATTCAGGGGTGATATTGTAAGGAGAAATTAGATACTGGTCACCCTCAGGGGTAAAAGGGTCAACTGTACATGTGATCACTACACCTACTGTCCATGTGGATCCCATCACACTGCCATTCTAAAGTGAAGTACTTTAGACACTTGAACCTGCCAGTGTCTGATTTCAATGCTCTCTAACTTTTTTTCCCTGCAACCTGATTAGTTTCTTTTTGTCAAAGTTTCCTTGACATGGCAGTGAGGAGTACAGGTAAGTCCTACAAAGACTGAAATAAAAATTTTCTTTCACTTTTTCACCCACATTAATACTCTATTTGGAAGATACTTTTCACAATGACTTAATTGCAAACACTGTGGTTACAACACAAGTGCAAATCTCAAAAATTGCAACCTTAAAATACCCAGCAAGGGTCCTTGGTATATGTATATGGCTCAATTAAGAATACCTTTGGGACAGCAACCCCTAAAAGTATTATTCCAGAGCCCTCGTTGAAAACTATGCACTCAGTCTGCTACAAAATAAACTCAAAAAATGGTTAAATGTGCTAAGAGATTGTCAGTAAATAAAAGAACACCTTTTCTTTTATGAAGTGTCTCAAGGATGAAATCACATGCAGGTACATGTGAAAATCATGTCTTGTCACTGCTAGAAATAAAAAAAAACTGTTACAACCAGTCATTCACTCTAATCATTGTGACACAGTCAACAAAAGAGGTTTGATGCATGTCAAACAGCATACCTTCAAATTGAAGGTAAATTCTTCTCTTAGAGAAACGTCACAACATTAGCTGGTCATGATTCATTAACATCATTTACCACCGATTCTTTGTGATACTTAATTTTTTTTTCTTAATTGTAATCCTAGAAGTTGTACATGGGAGAGAGAGTTCATCCACAAAGTTATTATCATAATTGTAGAAATTGAATCAAGGACCCAAGACCTTGCATCTAAAAATTTGAAAGAGAACAGGATTTACTTAGTTGGATTTACAGAAACAAACTTTGAGAATAATTCAAAGAATAGCAGATTACTAATTGGTGCAATACAATCACAGAGAACACTCATACCACAATAAAATTGAGCATTTTCTCAGTGAGTAATGCTCCTTTTTATCCAAGTCAAAATAAATAATTTTGTTGGTGTCCTGAATAAAAAGGAAACTACTGTTCTCAAAAGAGTTTGAAAATCTGCTAAGGAAAGGGGAGATATGGGCTTGGATGCCGAAGTTTACCTCCTCCCCCTCTTCATCTGTAAGGTTTGTTTAAAAGCCATTTAACCTTTCATATTTAAATAATGTTTACTTCAAACTACTAGTGTACATGCTAGTAAATACACGTTACGTCAATGAACACTTTCCAGTTCTGGACTTTGATTCATCTACTGTACACTTCCCTCCCAATAATAATTACAAATGTCACAGTTGCTACCTGTATCCAAACTCATAGTAATGAATCCCAATCGAATTCCTCGTCATCATCGTCATCCATTAATGCCGGTGCTCTTGTCCCAACCATAGTATGCTGATTACCTGTCTGACCCACTGCTGGTTGATTATTAATTGATGTCACTTTGATGCCTGGGATCGAGTGCTGTGAACTGCCGCTGAAACTTGCTGAACTGCTGTAACTATGTTGAGAACCTTGTAAAGGGGAGCCTCCAGATGTAAACTGGGGATTGCTTACTTGAAGCATTCCTTGTGGACTACCCATCATATTGCTACTACTAGAAGAAGATGGGCTAATTCCCCTTGCAGAGTTTGCTTCAGGGATAAAGCCTTGCTGGTGAAGATATTGACTAAATGAAAAGGCAAAATCCTGCCACTGATTCTGATCCACTCCCATATTTTGCAGATCAGCAGATTTCATACTGTCCATCAAGACTTGCCATGTACCAAGGTCAAAGTTCTGAAAACTTCTAGTGTTAAGGCTTTCCAAGAGTAGTTCCATGTTTTGCAGCAGATTATTTTGTTGCTGATGCTGCTGGTGCTGCTGGCGTTGGTGTTGTTGTTGTTGTTGACGCTGCTGATGTTGTTGTTGCTGTTGTTGAAGGTGCTGCTGCTGCTGTGACATTTGTGCAGATGTTCCAAGGTTCTGACTGCCTGCAAAGATACTAGCACCTATGCTTCCACCTCCTGCAAATTAAGAAAATTGTACATTTAGTCATCTAGTAACCTTCCATTTACCTAATAATAATAATAATAATAATAATAATAATAATAATAATAATGCAAATGTTAGGACGTCATTTTTAAATTAGGTTTTTAAAGGAACACAAGCTGTTTTAATTAGTGTTATTAGTTTCCCACCATTTTTGCACATTGTATATTAAAGAAACTTATAATCCCGGTAAGAATATAGGTTACGTTGTTACGCCCTATGTTTTTTTGTTTTTTTTTAGTAAGCTCAGCATCTAGAAGTTCAGTACTGCGATAATAATACACGATACATATTTGAAAAGGTGGACCATGAGGTTATCCCTATAAAAGGTTCCCCAACTGAACTTTAAAAATATTAAAAAACTCTATAAAACATGCATAAAAATCATTAGTGCAGGTACAAAATGGTATAGCAAAAATGATATTTAGGAAGAAAATATATACCATTTGAATATGAGCTTCTATGTCAATAGATCTTCATGCAGCTTTTTAAGCCTTTTTTTAAATTTGTTAACACTAATCCTTATTTATCAAAATATATCCGTCATCAACATCATCATAATGCATAATGGTCATTTATTCAAGATTTAAATAAGACATAATTATATTGTAACAGGAGAAGCATCTAATCTATTTATAAACAGCATCACCCCTGAATCAAGCATCAGGGACAAGAAAATAAAGGAAATGATCACAAACTCCAGAAGCTTTGATCATCAAATTCTTCTTGTAAATACCATAAGAAATGTATGGGAAGCAGTATGCAGGACTTGCACACTGATGTTAAAATGACAAGAGAATGTTCACCTTTTCTGAATGATCTGTAGCCCAGGCCAATGAAATTTAACTAGAAGATTTTTTTTTCAGCAAACATCATTAATTATAATAAAAAGTGAACAAAAGAAAGTAATTTTTTTCTTCATAGTTACTTATTAATAACCCTTTCACTCTCAAGATGTCACTGGTAGCTCTCCTTGCTGTCTGCCGTTCAGCTCTTATGATTTTAGTTCTGAGAGAATTTGATATTGGATCGGATCAACCAATAACACCTGATTTATATTTTTCTTTATTCTCATCACTTGTCTGTTTTAATATTTCATTGATATTTTGAGGAGAAATTCTTTCTTAGTCACTCATGGGAATTAAAGGGTTATATCTATTACGACAAATGACGATCATTTATTCAAAAAAATTCTGTAAAAAGAAATACTAGTAGATATCTCTCAAAACTGGAGGTAAATTTTGATTGAAAAGCTTCTGATGCACAATTCATTTTGAACTGATTTCCACATCACAACTTCCTCCCAATATGACTCACTACTCACCATAACTGTCTCCTCCATGTGATGCATCAAAAACAGATTTGTAAAGATTTTTAAATGATGCACTAAGATCTTCAAATGCAACCTCAGGGAAAATCTTCCTTGGAGGTTCTCCATAGCTCTGTGAGGCGCCAAATCCACCAACATTAGTGTTAGGGGATGACCCTGGGGATATCCCAGCTGACATTCCCAGGAAACCCTGGTTGGTAGGCGATGAACCATAATATCCTGCACTGGTATGTAGTGAGGCTAATGTTGGTGAGGATGGTGATCCACATGGGGAGGACTGGGGGCTAATCGGTGAGACACGACCATCTTCAGGCCCATATGGTGATAACTGTAGGAATGAAACAATAATTTTCAAAGAAGTAAAAGCCAAATAACATTACTAGAATTGACAGAGCCATTGCATAGGACATTCCAAGCTTTAAGATCCTGTCTAATTTTCATTTACATTTGAATAAGTTATTGCCATTTATAAGTCTTAAAATGAAAAGAAAACAGTAAGATTTTCTGGTCAATAGCATCTTACTAACATCAGGTGGAGTGCCAAGTTGTAATTTCCCTCTGGGAGGGAGGGGTCATGTGTAGTTTAACCCTCATTTAGCCAAACAGGATCACCTTTGAATCAAAACATTTAAGTCGCAAAAAACAAGAGAAATAATACCCAACTAAAGAAACTCTCGATTGTTTAACAAATCCTCTTTGTGAACACCGTAGGAAATGTACAGAGAACAGTATTGAGAAAGTGCATATTGATGTTAGGATATTAGGGCTAAGATCCTCCACATTGTGATGACTCAAGACTAGACTAACAGTAACTAACTGGCCTCAATCTAGTAGAATTTTAGTTTTGGCTCGTGGTTTTTTATTTCCACAAGCCAGTTTGGCTTGTAAACAAACTGAAAGAGTTAGTGTAGAGCCCTGATGACTATTACTTTCCTTAAAAAATACTACTTTGATTTTTGTCCTACATCTTCATCTCAAATATTTAACCACCGGTATATTTAATTTTTTTCACTTAATTACCATGCGGTGACCAATGGAATCTCACCTAACCATTATCCTGTCAATTCAACAATCTCAGGTTTAGAAGCAACTTGTGGCCCTAGAGATAGTTCAATAATTTTTCCTTTTTTAATCCTAGTTTTTCACTTTCACTGTGAAAAAGCTAATGCTCATAACATCAGCTTTAGAAAGTCTTTTTAACGGCTAACTTACGTTATTACACGACTCGGGCAGTCAGAGGGCCAATAACTAAAATCAACCAATCAAAATGCTCTATTGCCGGTCAATATTCTCTCAGTATTGGACTGGGCACTGTCCCGAATTGTCCCCAATGATACCGCACTTGTGTCCCTTTGAACTTCAGTCGTATAATAAATCTCTCATTAACCAAGCTTGCTCGGGCCCGTACTGGAAGAATATCAGCCCTCGGTCTTTTTTGTACGGACCTCGCTGTGCTCGGTCCGTACTGTCAAGACCTCGGGCCAACATTCTCCCAGTACGGCCCTCGCGCTTGGTTAATAAGATATATTCATCAACTCATTTGATAAAGCCAAATTATCTTACAATACCCCCCACCAATGTAGCACCACAATTTCTTTAGAAACTTACAGGGCTCAACACTTAACCTTTTCAACTTACTAGCCAAATGGCAAGTGACAGCTTAGATGTTACAACAATTTCAGTTTGTTTACCAGCCAAACTGGCTAATGGAAACCAAAAACCACTGGTCAAAACTGAAATTCTACTTATCTGTGGCTAGTTAACATTATAAGCTTTAATGTTTCTGTTTTCCTTTGAGTTAGCTAGCGCTACAACCTCCCAAAGCTAGGAACAGAGTCAAATATTATCATTATTCACGGTTGTTGGAGTACTTTCGTTCCCATTTCTTGCTTGACCTTCAGAAGGCCCGGCTACCTAGCTACTGTAGTAAATTGTGACGATGTTCACGAAACCTAGTTAACATGGGTGTGCTAGTGAAGTTTTCCGTCTTTAAATAAGAATCAACTTGAAGAAAGTGACAAAATGTGTAGACAAAGGAACCTTGTAAGTTTTTGTTTTATTTACTATTGTTTGCAAAGTTGTTTAAGCGAGTGAAACGTTCTCATCAGAGTTAGCACGAAAACGTACGTGGAACAGTTGACATTTTAAATCAGTTTAAATTTTACAACCCAGATGTTTAAGCTTGTAATCTTACATAAAAACAACACGGATATGATTTGCCAAAATGATGGCGAAGAAGCTAAAAGTGTTAGCTTAAAAAAGCATTATATTTTTATTAAAGTTAACAACCTTAATGTTTTCAGTGTTGTAATAAAATTCTACTGCAATTACGTAACCAACTTAGTATTCACTTTCTCTTTTTATAAGTACAAAAACTGCTTTGCATTTTCGAGGGTGGTAAGAAGTCCCCGATTAAAATTTTGGAAATCCCTGGGGGGAGGGGGGTAATCAAAGACCCCCTCGAATGGAAAATCCTGGGGGGTGGGGGGTGCAAATCAAAAAGTCTTCTGTGAGGGGGGTATGGATAATTTCTGGAACCACACAATGTATGTAACTTAGGGTGCTGTTTCTGTGATGAGAATGATAGACAAGCATTTTTTTTTTTTTTTGAAGTACAGGTTATTGAATTAATTTGCAAAAAAATTTAAAGTATGACAAACAACTGGCATTGACAATCAGATTTGAGAACCATAAATGCAAGATAAGTTTCCTTTGTAGAAAATGTCTTACACGTGGCATTAGCAATATGTAATTAGCCACAAAAATAATCTCTTAACCCTCAAATTCACTTCATTTGCAAAACCCCATGTGAATATTAATGTACATGTATTACATAGAGGAAGTAGGAATTTAGAGATACAACCCCAAATGCCACAAATAATTTAAACTCCATTTTTAACAATATTAGAACATTTGCATCATCTTCAAAATCGAATTTTTTCACATCAAAATTGCCTCATAAATAACTAATGCCAAGTCTTTTCAATGATCACCTAACTAGTTAGAAAGCCTAATTTATTGCTTTGATGAAAACAAAGAAAAATTAACCTTTTAGCCTGAGAAATAAAATACCATTAAGGCGGAGTCATAAATGAGTTAACCTCTTAGCTTTAAACGGAATTGTTTCGACGCAAGCAATCGGTTCGATCCCTTAATATTTTGACTCTAAAAGGAGTCACTGAAATGTAAATTACCCCAGGGATTACCATAAGATTGCTAATAAAATACACTGGAAAAGCCGATTTTTTTTTCCAGGCGCTTGTCCTGGTAAAAATTTTTATTTTTTAAGATCAAATTATTACTTTAGTTTAGCTTTGTTGATGTATTTATGACGTTTAAGGATTCGTGACCTTTTCATCTACTCAGTCTCTATGGCACATGTTCTTGGGACAAATGAAATCAACAACGTGAAAATTCGATCGTCGATGATAAATCGAGCTGTAAAGATCACACTCGTCGATTACACTCGTAGAGGCGTTAAAATAGGTCATCGGTTTAACATTACAGGCGAGGAAATGATCGACAGGATGTTTTGAGGCCCTTTCGTGAATCACGTTATATCATACACAAACTGCTTACAATAATATGAAGTGGAAAAAATGCACTGATTAGGACAAGAGTCAGTACGTAAATACGCATGGAAATGAAACCAGCATTTCGATCGTACTATAAAACATATATACAATAAAATTCGATGTTAGTGAAAGCAGTGTTGTTTACAATCCCTGTACCTAAGCTTTCACAAACACCTATGCTTACAAAATCTATGCTTACAACTGCGTTAGCGCCATGTTTCGTATTGCGCAGCGGTGTGATCTTACCCTAGAATCGCTTGGCCGTCTTTTCCTGTTTTGCCGCGAATGTGCACTGTCATCTTGTGGATTCTGGTCTATCGCCCAATATGATCCCTAAATTATCACACAGATTATTTCAACATATAAATCTGACAAAAATATTGCGATCAACCCTAGTATCAGGTCACAATAGAGGTTTAACTACAATCAATACGCATGCATATGATGTACCTTTCCAGGGTCGTCTTTGCTTCTGGGCACTTTCATAAAGCACTTGTTAAGTGACAGATTGTGCCGGATCGAATTCTGCAGATAATAAAAACAATATATATTTACTACCGAGTTCAATAAGGGGTAATGACTGAAATAATCGCCTCGAAAGTTTAATATTCACTAGTTGTCCAATTTTCGGCGACAGTGTCTTACAATACCATACATTGTATACCTTCCATCCATTTCCAGCTTCTTTGTAATACGGAAACTTATCACAGATCCACTGATAGATCTCACTCAGCGTCATTTTCTTCTTCGGTGAGCTATTAATGGCAAAAGTGATCAAGTTGGCGTAAGAATACGGCGGTTTGCTTTCGCGGGTTTTATGTTGTTGTGCCTCCTCGTCGTCTAATGTCGCGTTCGGATCGAGGGGCGAGCTCGGCGGTTTGCGAAATGGACTCTTGTCCCGACTTGGATCGTTATTGTTGTTCGACATTTTGTTAGCACTGCTCAAAGCCGTGCCAACACTAAGCTTCGGTAGCCAGTCCATGGCTGTCAGGCTACTGTTCAGCTCCGCCATGATTGCAATGGCGTTCTTGCCAACCGTAACGCTGCAGGGGGTGGTAAAGCAAAACTCATCACGCATGTCTCCTTCTACTCTACTATGTGTAAAGCTGGAAAAAACGTCATCAGTGACGTTAAAGGTGACCTCAGCGGCGTGCAACATATCTCGACCATTACGCATACTTATATAAATTGTAGGGGCAGGTCAAGCACAAATGCCTTTTTCCAAAATTCTAGAGCTGCAATGAGTAGCTGAATCATTATATTGTGCGATGATCAACATATCACAGACGATGTTAGTACTCAGAAATACTAGTCAATGCTGTTCTGCAAGCTGTTGCACTTTCGAATTGAAAAAATCTCGTTTTGCAGAGATTTTTCAAATACACTTTTGTCTCTAGCAGGAGTAGTTACGCTGCACCCCTCCCGTCTCAAGCTTCGCACAAGAGGTCTGGGCAAGTGCTCTTCGTAGATGCCAATTCTGTCCTCTACAACAATAATTTATTTACCAACAAAGGTGTATTTCCAATATACCCATGGGTAAAACTCCTTGCAAAGCATAAGTGATACCCTACACCTAACGGTACAAAATAATTTCAAGTATGTAACCGCGTCGTATTCACTTTATTCCATCTGACGTCATATTTGGGCGTGAGAATTTCAAGAGCTATGGTTGTGACTTTGACCTTCTCCCACAGTAACAATGGAAAATCAGTCGTGCGTTCAACGACTTTTAAAACTTTGGCGGGTTTAAATGCCTTAGCTTAGTTTCAGTTTGTTATGTAGTTTGAACGTTTCCATGGAAACTGCGTCTTCACACGAACTTCCGAATGTTCTTTCCCTTGGTCTAAAGTAGGGGATGTTCTCCGGAAGTCGATTCTATTAAATTTCAGTTAATTTCATGTTGTTTATCGTTTTGTTGTCCTGGCTCTGTTTTCATTTCCTCTTTTGCTTGTCTCCGAAAAAGATGCGCCCCGCGGAAAACGGTAATGGCCGTGCTGATGTTTTTAAGGAAAATCTAAAAACCAATTTTTCAGCAAAATTCAGGTGAAGCCCCACCTTAAGTCCACTCTCGGGGAGGTAATAACTATCAAAGTTTTTGAAAGAGGCTTATGGTAGTAAATTGTAAGAGAGAAGATAGCTCTTTCCCATTCCATGTGCTCTTTTTTCTAACTTCCAGATCTTTCTTCTCGTTATCCAGTGGCGGATCCAGGGGGAGGGTCCGGGGGGTGCAGACCCCGCTAACAGACCTGACCCTTACAACTTTGAAATTGAAATTCTTACATCGACAGGATCGTATATCACTTTTCAACTAGCTGATCTTTTTAATGAATCTAAGTAAACGGTAAGCGACCAAGGAATTATAACGTGCAACCGCGACTGGTGGGAGGGGGTGTTGTGGGTGTGGGGGTGTGGGGGGAGAAGTAATTTGCCTCAAAAGAGTCCAACAGTCCTTTCTGNAAACAAACCCAGCCTCAAGCGCAGCATAACAAGGGTAAACTCCTGGAATTTAGTAAGTACTCTGGGTCTCCCAACATTACCGTTCGTGGTGGTCCTTTTGTGCCCATAATTAATATTGCTAGAGGCTTGTTCTACAGTTTTGTAACAAAGAATAAAAGCATTGTAATCGGGAAAGCCGGTGTAGAATGCAATATCATCATCTTTATCTTTAAATTTGCTTATGTCAAATCTATTGTTATCTAAAGCATGCTTCAAGCTTTCGATTTCCTTTTGTAATTTGCTGTTCACCTCTTTTATGTTGTTGTTTTCTTTCTCCAACTGCTGAATCTCTCCCTTAAGCTTAACAATTTCTTGTTCTCTTGTTTGCATTCTGTTGTATAAACTGTTTAGTTGGTCTCCAGTAAGTAACGTTTGCATTTCCACACTGGTACTGGTGTCAGCATTAACATTCATATTTTCTGTCTGTTCTTCAAATTTAAAGTTCGCTTCCTGTGGTAATTGAGCAAGTGCTGTTTTTCTTTTTTTGGTTTGCTCTATTTTCTGTACATCTTCGAAACTGGCCCTCTTGCGTTCTCTACGTTGAGCTGTCGGTTTTGTCCATGGAAAAATTGAAGGCAAGTGCGTTCTGCTAAGTTTTTCTCCTCCATCGAAATGAACTGAGCAAATCCGCGTACTCGTAGAATCTAATTTCAGAGTCTCGTTCCTCATAAGAACCACGTACTTTCTACGTATATGAGGGTCTTTTGGAATTCTATAATACTGAAGGTTAGGTGCATTTCTGTAACTATTAGTGCAGCCTGGAATACAGCAGTTATAGTGTGCCATGTTTGTCACACGTCAGCTGTGCGTTTGTTTACCTTCACGCTGTCCCTCCAAACGATCCCAAGAGCCTTTATGGTGGCAAATCGTACCCAGACCGCCGCTCGTTTTGAAAATGGCTAATTGAAATATACGTGTTGACCCGAGGGGACTGAACCCCACTGCTTCCCCAGATTTGTTGTAAAACTGATGCGCTGCACTAGTATCGCAGAGGTCAGTGGTTCGAGTCCCGTACAGGCCTGATTTTTTTCAGGTCTGATTTTCGCTATTGCATAAATAGCGCTATCTACTGCGAGGATCGTGCATCATACGTATCTAATACCGCAGTTCAAAATATATGAACTTCATATATTCATTGTATCTCATTTATCACTTTCACGGGTTTATTACGAATCAACTTAACGGCCTGCTCCCAGTTGGCTTGTTAGCTCAATTGGTAGAGCGCTGCACTAGTATCGCAGAGGTCAGTGGTTCGAGTCCCGTACAGGCCTGATTTTTTTCAGGTCTGATTTTCGCTATTGCATAAATAGCGCTATCTACTGCGAGGATCGTGCATCATACGTATCTAATACCGCAGTTCAAAATATATGAACTTCATATATTCATTGTATCTCATTTATCACTTTCACGGGTTTATTACGAATCAACTTAACGGCCTGCTCCCAGTTGGCTTGTTAGCTCAATTGGTAGAGCGCTGCACTAGTATCGCAGAGGTCAGTGGTTCGAGTCCCGTACAGGCCTGATTTTTTTCAGGTCTGATTTTCGCTATTGCATAAATAGCGCTATCTACTGCGAGGATCGTGCATCATACGTATCTAATACCGCAGTTCAAAATATATGAACTTCATATATTCATTGTATCTCATTTATCACTTTCACGGGTTTATTACGAATCAACTTAACGGCCTGCTCCCAGTTGGCTTGTTAGCTCAATTGGTAGAGCGCTGCACTAGTATCGCAGAGGTCAGTGGTTCGAGTCCCGTACAGGCCTGATTTTTTTCAGGTCTGATTTTCGCTATTGCATAAATAGCGCTATCTACTGCGAGGATCGTGCATCATACGTATCTAATACCGCAGTTCAAAATATATGAACTTCATATATTCATTGTATCTCATTTATCACTTTCACGGGTTTATTACGAATCAACTTAACGGCCTGCTCCCAGTTGGCTTGTTAGCTCAATTGGTAGAGCGCTGCACTAGTATCGCAGAGGTCAGTGGTTCGAGTCCCGTACAGGCCTGATTTTTTTCAGGTCTGATTTTCGCTATTGCATAAATAGCGCTATCTACTGCGAGGATCGTGCATCATACGTATCTAATACCGCAGTTGAAAATATATGAACTTCATATATTTATTCTATCTCAATAATCCTTTTGTTGTCAACACGTCCCATTTTCTTTGGTCATATAGCTGGTAGCGCACGTTGGCATAATCCTTTTGACAACGTCGACAATGGAGCAGTAAGATGAGGCAGAAGACAGTCAGAAAAATTTTTCAAATGGTAAACGTGCACGTACCATCGTAGTTGGCTTTCCTTCCCACAGTTTGAAAATAAACAAGTCATTCTTGATTCTTACTATGGCAAAATATATTTTACGAAAATCTGCAACCGACAGTCATTATCTTGAGCCCTTACTTGGCATTTTTTAATCAATTTCACTAAAATACTCGGCTATATTAAGACACATCCCGAGTTTGGTATCAATTTTCCATGAGAGAGTAGACCTTTCTCGTAAAACCGGTGCGACATATATATCTATGAAAAAATTTTTTCATATACTACAACATCAAATCCCATCCTCAGTAAGATTTTTACACCAAATTTTAAACAAAGACTCTCACTGAACGTAGGGTTTAAGTTTAGAATATCAACGGACACTTCCAAGTACGAAGCTGTGGCTTGACTATGCAGCCCTCGAACTGTTATTTCCACGCCTTGCATTTGGAGTCCTGGGCGCATGGGCCCAGTTGTTCGAAGGCTGATTAGTGCTAACCCAGGTTTAAAATTTAATCCAGGTTTCTATATTTCTCTGTTCAAAAGTGGTTTCGGGGTGATTTTTCCCATTTTATTAGAGCATTCAATTATCAAATTGCAGACAAATGGAATTAAACTGAAGTTTTTTTTTTTTTAAGCTTTCAGATCTGAAATCAAATTTCACACAAATCCTTTGTTATTTTTAGCCACCTTTGAACAACCCGGCCATGGGTTGAGCCCATACACGGCGAGAGAAAGGAGGACTTTAGAAGCTGGGGTAAAGGATTTATGGATTATAATCATGGGTAAACTGGCTGATATACTTAAATAAGCATTGTTCACAAGAATTTTGATAGTAGAAACTTTATTACACTGCTACAACTTAAATCTAACGTCTACGGTGAGGATGCCTTGCAAGGTGTGTCCATGACCATCAAACTGATCTCCCAACCATGCAATATCTGTGTAGCAAATCACCCGATCACTACGTTACGACATCTTGACAGGGCCGAACATGATCGATAGACCAAGAATAGTCAATAGAGATAAGTTTATATCACGGTTAGTAATAGGGGAATCCTTGTTTACAATATTTGCCTCATTAGCATAAGCAATTCAGTTTCTGATGGAGCTAAAAATAAATCAGTTCTGAATATCGAAAGGTCAAAGTATGATTAGCTCGGCCAATGAATACGAGCCTGATGCAATGAATACTGTTTGTGCAACACGGGTTTAAAAACTCAAAATTTTATATAGAATGTATGAGCTCATTAGCGCTTTTGCCACCAAGAAATTTTGCAGTTTTTGATGGACTATTTCTCCTTGAATATCACACCCAAAGAGCTAAAAATTTCACCATATACTAAGGTTTTCTAGCTCTTTAGCTGCCTGAAGTCAATTTGTATCTAACATGCTTCCTTCTTTACGCAAAGCCGTATGCGAATGAGCAAAAATGTAAACAATGACGTCAGCATGAATTCGCCTATTGGATGGGTCACGTGACTAGCGCAAACAATAAGGCCTTTCTCCCCGCCGTTCGCTTCGATTAGGGTCTAGCAATGGATTGAACGTGATGGACGGAAATGTAGAGGAAAAAAATCGGGCAAAATAATTCCAAAGAACTGCACTTAACTGGGCGACCTAATCGGAAGATTGAAATCGACATATCAGAGCTGTCGAACGCTTTTAGAGTCTTACTTAACGTCACGGCAAAACTGATTGGCAAACAGCTCTTCTCTTCATTCTCCGTCTATCGTCGACTCAGAATGGACTATGGAGACTTTTGTCACAAGACACTCTCAGCTCGGTCAAACCTGGACCCCATGAGCTTGGTAATGACTCAACTCACCATCTGAGTCACCTTGTAGTTCATTGGCGGGGCGTCAGTGCACAATTCCCAAGATCTTGGGGTTCGAGTCCTCGTAATGGAGTCAGAATATTTTTCATTTTTTGTCACCATACTCGAGATAGAAGGAACGACGTCTTTCTTGAAAGCTGGATCTCACTGCAACCCGTGACATAATGGAAAGAATGGAGGAACTAGTTCTCTCGCCCACCCCTTCTCAGACTCTACGCGAACAAAGATGACATATGTGCAACGGGGTACAAACGCTGACCAACCTGATTTATACCTACCCTGGCTGACGGGAGCTTTTTGAAACGATTCCAGCTGTTCTAGTTTTGTTTTCTTTGCAATTGCGCCTTCTGTGAACGCGTTTCCGTTAACAGCTGGTAAAAACACCTCCTTGTCGGTCTTCTCGTTTGCACGCACGCAAAATTTAAGTTCTCTTGCTGTTGAAGAAATAATGGAAGACCTGATCCTACATTTACATTGTTTGTCCTCATGTGAAGGTACAAAGTTAAATAAAATAGCAAAAAACGGAAGGAAAAACGCCTTGCGTGATTTGTCCCTTGGCAATCGTGTATTGCCTGACTTGGTATTTGCAAAGCTGCCGGAGGGGCTACTTCAAGATAGACGCAGCCCTTAAAAAGGGCAAATGTTACTTTAGCTTTATTTCGTCAGCAGCAATTCGACGTGACTTACGAACTGAAAACAAGTTCACTTTTTTCGCTTATATTGATTGCGCTAGTTTGTCACAACTCCAGGTAACCCTGTTTATTTCTTGACCACTTGGGATCGCTCTAATGTCGGTCCCAATTGGGAATTCAATCATGCCCGTTTACAGGCTACCTTCTTTTGGTTGACCTTGGTCGGAAAAGAATCGCAAAGTTTGGTCACGGAAAATACAGTGGTTTCTGTACATCCAACGAGTCAGTACCGGGAAAGTCGGCTATGAGAAGCAAATTGACTGTTCCAAACTAATTTCTCCAACTTGAGTGAACAACGATTTTTTTTTTTTACAAGAACGAGCGTGTAGGAAAATATGTCCATCGGTGTGTTTTTATGGAGAAAATTATCATTCATGTTTAAGGCGGTGAAATGTTGAAATAAATAAATAATGAGTTCTTTTCACTAGACTCGGTAGAAATAAATAGTTTGTCTCCATTTCACAGCATGTCGCTTTTATTTATCCGTGGCGATAATGCGGCGCCGACTTTTCTACTGCATACTTATTTTTTTAGTTTTGACAAAGAAATTCGAAAACAGTTTTGTCTATCATGAATAACTTCCTAATACGTAGCAATCGCGGGTGAAATATTTTAAAACTCTTGCGAGAAATTGCGCTCGGTGTTTTGGCAGCCGGTGGTGTGTTGTGTCGTCTAAGATAAAAAAGTTTTCCGTACAGCTGACAAAGTTGAAATATGTGCTTATTTATGGCCAGTGCACGTCAATTAAAGAATTTCCAAAATTCCGGCTGTCGAGCGATAAGAATTGCTTAAGAATCTACACGAAGACGAGAGGAAAATCGGAAATGTAGCGTTCTTTTGTGCCCAAAAACACCTCATCTCATGATAATCGTGAAGCAAACGGTTTCGCCATTGTTAATCGTTCGCATAAATTGCTGTTGCCGAATATTACCAGTTTTTAAAACTCGTGGGCACACGATGTTAGCACGAGTAATTCTAAATAAATACACAACAATTAATGTTTATATCGAATCCTTACTTTTAATTTTGTTGCAATATACAAAGCGAAGGCATTCCTACGATATCATCTGTTCCTCTGTACAAATTTAAAGTTATTTTACACACAAAAACAATGAGATATACAACAACTGAAAAACGCAACAATCCAATTGTTACAATAATTTAGAGTTAAGTATAAAAAAACTACTAATGTTTCTTAACTTAATATCGTAGCGGACCAAGTTTTTGCATACGTCAACACGCGCTCTGTATCAAACCATTATCGAGGAAATAAATTACAAGTTTAGCGACACTTCGTTGATAGCCAGGTAGAAGGCTTGTAGAAGGACTCCTGCAAAAACAAATCCCACATCGTCCTGTTCCGAAAAGCTTCTCCAAAGGAGCCGAAGAAAAGTTTTGTTTCTTCGAGCAAAAGGATTGTACCTCCAGTTTAAATTATCTCCCGCCGAAGCTAAACATCTCCCAATTGTTCTTGGTGTATTTCTCGTTTGTGCTGATGTTATTCGCATTTCAATTTGATCTCCAATCCATGCAAGATTTTGTGCAACGTAATGTATGTTCCCTTCGGGGTTGCTGTCCAACTGCAAAGTACTGCGCGGTTGCTGATGAGTTGTCCTTGGAAAATTATTTCTCGCGACTGTCGCGTGCAGAATAAGAGGATTTATTTCCCTCCTCTCCATTCTGCATGCGGTCAGATATCCACTGTCTAAGTACTCAAATACCTTTCCGGCTTTGAACCACAAAGGGCGTTTAAGACGATTACTGTAGAGTTGAAAGCGAAAGTCTTGTATAGGGAAAATCAATGTCTCAATCCATGGCTCTACAGTCTGGACGTTGAAGAGTTATTTTCAGTCGATTTTTTTTTCTTCACTGATGCTGTTGTGTTGGTCAGAGCCAGATCAAAGTCAGGGCATTGTCAGAAGTTACACCTAAGGCCCTCGAATGTCATTCAACTATTCGAAATGTCAAACAATAGGAAAGCGATCCACACGCTCAGAAAGACATTAGGGACACAAGATTCCCCGTAAATTCCCGTGCAGTTTTAACGAAGTGGCGACAATTTGTCTCTCTAACCAGCAACCCGTCTAGGCTTGCCTTCTTTTAAAAGAAAGGGAATTGTTTTTCTTTTCACTTTCACGACCTTGACTTTCCTTGTGCAAATAAAACTGCGCGAAAACCTTGTTCCCGCATTCAATTATCTATAAACAGGGTATCCCTTGTCCAACGCACTTCAACTTAAAAGAGTTGTGCCCCACTAGCCAGTTGTGCTGTCCATTTGTTCAAACAAGCCCGCGAAGTCCTGAAGACGGGAATCTCGACCTCCGGCAGGGGTCACTTGTTTATTTTCCACAATTTCGCGGAACTTCAAGAAGGCAAACACGCCAATCGGGTCGTGCCGAAAAGAGTTCATTTGCGCACCTTCAATGAAAGCGGCGAGCGCTTCACTACAAGCCAAAAATCATTACTTTTAATAAGCATTGCCGAAACCACCCGCCTTGGTTTCACTTTCTAGAAGTATATATGATGCGGAAAGAAAATGAGTTACCGCAATTAGCCCCAAAGTTTAAAGACAAAGGATTTTCTAATAAGTCTTATTTTGTTTCTACAAACCGTTTTTGCGGACTGAGAATCCCTCTTCAACTTCAGCATATGACCATCGCGTTTTTTATGCAAGTCTTGGCTGCACAAACTATGACATTCAACAGGCTTTCTATGCAGGCGACGGTTTTTCCAAATAGCTTATTTTCCCTTTCAGAGAATAAATAGAAAAATAGACGGCAGATTACATCATACTAATTTAATCCAAATTTAAAGCAAAAACTTCCGGCTTGGCAAAAAGTGACAGAGTTTTCAACAACTGTCTTGCTGAGGTCGTGTTTGTCGGTTCGAACGCGGCGGCTCTAACATCCTTAGCAGTCGACCGAAACATCGCAACAAACAATGGAAAATTCTTACCTAAATATTCCCTCGCCCACTGCGAAATAACAATAAAAATCAGTTTGCAGCTATCGCACCAAACAGCCGAAACGGTAGAGGCTCAATGTTGCATAATAAGTTTGCATTGTTCCTGGTTATCGACGTTTTCGGTTTCTTCTCAACTCTATAAGCGGTGTTCTTTTCTTGATTTTAGCCGCTCTATTTATTATAAATTACTGCACCTTTTGACATAGAGAGTTTGCATAGAAAGACAAGCGAAGATAAATAGTTGCTTTTGCGGTTTGCCAAATGATAGCTCTGTTAAGGTTCATGAATTTAACTGTATAAATTTGCTTTTTCCATTAGAACATGTTTTCAGCCGGGGTAAGAGTGACATTGTTATATGAATTTCATGAAATACTCGATTACAATGCAAGGCGAAGAATAATGGCAGAAAACAAACCAAGACAAAACAAAGTGAAATATCCAAACATTGCTACCACTTGTAAACATTTCTAGCCTGAATTATATGAGTTGAACAACAATGCAATGGTTAATTTCATATATTTCGAGCAATTTTTTTTCCCCTTTTGTGCTCAATAGAGAGTCAGTCGGCTAGATTAAAGACATGCCGGTAAATGAGAAAGAAAAATTTATTTAGGGGAACTGACGAGAACGCAAAAGAAAACACAAGTTTCTGATTTGTTGCGTCTCAAATCTCTAAATACGATCATGAAAACTACCGACTCAATATTTGGCGGCGGTTTTTCGATTCAGTTATTAAGAAACTAATTTCAACCGATTATCGAGATTTCTCACGATGGAATACTCTATAAAGCACTTAAATTTTTGAGCGTTGCCATATTGGACGCGGTACTTTGAACGTTTTCAAGATAAAGAATTCAAAGCGAGATTTATCGTCTCTATGTTTTCTTACCAAGCACTTTAAATTATTTTTAATTTAAATCGATGTGAAGATCTTTACAGGAAGCGACGGGATCGTGGATATTCGTCAATCTTAAAATAAAATAAATACAGTCTAATAATAAAATTACAAAGATCACGGGCCTTTTTGACCAAATAATTCAGAGGAAACTTATTCTTTAATTATTTCTATTCTACTTGTCTCTCAATTTTTATCTAGTGACTGAATAGCCCTTCTTGCAGGAAAGTCAAGGTAGGGACCTGTTATATTCTTATCCCTCCCCCCCTCCCCTTATTGGCAATCAATTTTCGGCTAATCCCTCCTACGTGCCCCTGAAAACCATGTTTTACCACCCCGGCCCCCAACTCCCTCTCCCCCGCGATAAAGAATGACTGGACCCTTCGTCAGGAGATAGAGGGGGGAGGGGTGGGGTGTAGGTCTCTCCTATTACAACGAGTGGCCTGTTTCTGAAAGTATTTTAGACTGAAGAGGTGAACAAAGAATTTTGAAAAAGTTGTTTTAGGAAGGCTCGCCTAAGAAAAATGCTGTTGAACGAGAATTTCTACGCATGCGTCTGCTACAGGTAAATTTGACAAGTGCATATCTTGCCAAATTGTGTTCCTCTGCCCCAAGACTGGCAAACACTCGCCTAGGAAAATGCTTTTGGACGAGACTTTCTCATTAAGCAAGCGTCTACTACCGTAAATTTGGCAATAAGTGAACTTCCCGCGAAATTGTGTTCCTCTGCTCCAAGACTGAAAATATTGCTCCGATCGCCATGATCAACATTATTATCACGAAAGCGACGAGCCACTTTGAGGATAAATTAGGCGCTAATCACTCTTAAGAGCTTAGCGTTAAACATACTTGAGGTTTGGAAACAGGTCACTTATTTGATGAAAGGGGATCGAAGTTATAGAAGATAACTGAATGATAAACGACTTAACATTTTATCTTGAAACAGCTATTGACACACTTTAAGATTCAAGAGAGCTGTCTTAGGCTGACAGGCAAAAAAATACCCAGTAGAATTATATTAAAAGAACTTAAAACCACGAAATAGTATTTAATTGGTAATTTACTTTATATTAAATTAATTAGGTATTACTGTTTGAACTGATTTTTTGCACGCTATATCATACGTTGAAATTACATAATTTTTAGAACTACGTACGAAAAGACCCTTTCTTGCCTTACATCCTACGATACAATAACATGGTCAGCGGAACAGGAGGGCAGGAGGCTACAGTCCTTCCAATCGAAAATTTGGGGGCCTCGGCCCCCATACCCCTATGTTTTAGTGCCGACAATATTGCTTGCGTAGCATGAATTAGGTTAGCAAAACATTCAGTCTTGTAATCTTTTCGAATCGTGCTTATAAAAATTAAAGTTGATTTGAACAGCTCTGGTCTGTGTTCACGAATCGGACATCGAATTGGAAAATTTGAGTCGGACTATGCTAATTGGCTTTGTATAGGAAGAGTCTTCCTTTCTTTACATCCTAAATATAGCCATGTTCTAATTTAAGTGTCTGAGGTTCTATAAACAACATCGACTGACTATTTTTCTTGAGAACAACTCGAGAGGATGGCCATACATACATAAGGAAGACGACAATAACAATATATACCATGAAATAAGTTACATGACTTTGAAATCAGCTATTCAAAAACTAGGTGACCGCGCAATTGAAAGAACATTTCATTTCAAAGAATGTATACCATCTGAACATGATCACGAAAGTATACGAGAGCGAAAAACTACGTAGTACGATCACCAGTAATTACTTCCAAAACCTGTCTTATGGCGAATTTGGTACGAAAGGGAAAATGACAGGTTTTACTTGAATTTTCACGGAGAGCCTCAGAAATTGTAAAATATACTGGGTAAAAATAAATTTCATTAAAGCAACGATTCTGTTTTGCTTAACTATTTTACTCCCATGATCTAGTAATCAGTTCTCCACACTGTCCACCATACATCTCTTGTACTTTTAAGTATGAGAATTTGGTGTTAATCAAACAATACCGTCTCCTCTCATTTCTGTTTGAAAGTGTTTTGATAGTCTAATGAGAAACTTCTTTTTGTCACCTAATTTGAAAAAAGTTACCTTAATGATGTTTTGATTGTTTTAAGTGCGGGTAACACTACCTTCAACTTGAGGGGGGTATAGTTGCATTTTGGAGACGGTTCTGTTACATTTTGCTGACTACGATTCCCCCCCCTCCCCTACCCTGCTACACGGTTTGTTAATGTTAACTATACTTAATGTTTAACAATGACTCGGAAAACAAGAAGGAAATATTCAAGCGAAACCAATATAAGATTGTTTTCCTTTTCGCGTTACGATTAACTGCTATTTTACTTTTTTACATAAAGATATCACCGCTTTACCTTACACCACTTTGTCCTTCGGGTCATTAGGCCCCATAAGACGAAGAAACATTTGGTCTATATAAAGTAATTTCCAACTGAGTGTCAAAAGCATTCTTGTAATACATTGGTTTCCTCTTTCTGCACTCTGCGACTATTGTAAAAATTTTAGTCCACCTTCTCGCCAAATCAGAAACAAACTCAACACCAATTGCGATCTGGTCGTCCTTGTTTTTCCGCGCTTGAGCAAGCTACCTCCTTTCAGTTTTAATTGGCTTTTTGTGATATTTTCCAATGTAATAAGTTCAACACTCAGTTTTCATTGGCTTTTTGTGATATTTTCCATTGTTTTGATTGGCTAATGTAATAAGTTCAAGGACTCTTGGTTGAAAAGCCCCTCTCACTAACCATTTTACTTTGAAGAACATGATTACATGACCTTACCAGTAACAAAAAAGGTGGTAGGATCACAAACCCTTGATAAGATTGAATTTCTTGGTAAACAATAATCCTCCACAACCACTTCTTGATCACTGGCAAGATTATGTGACAATGTTTGGTAAACGTTTTACTTGTACACTTAACTCTATAATACCTTGTCTAAAATTTCACTTCTTTACAAACACATTGATGACAATACTGTTACTAATTCTAAAATTTACCTTCTGCAATCATTACATTATGTTACATTCTTGTAAATTTGAGAGCACACAGGTTGAACAATGCAAAATGCCTCATTAAAATACTTTCCTCTTTGACAATTAATATGAGATCTATCTCTAGAACTGTACCCAGCTAGAATCAGAACTCCTATAAAAAGAATGAAAAAAAGAAAAAAAAAACAGTGGGTGATTCTTTGATGTTGTAATGGGGAAAAATTGAATTCAGGTTAGCTTAGACTCAGATCCAAAGACCAAGGGAACTAAGGGCAAAGTTATCGGGGGTTTTGATATAAGTGGGTTGTTAGCAGTCGACCGCAGCCTGTAAGAACTCCTATTATATGGCTGTGTCTCACAAGGACTGGGAACTACTGAATTCACGAATTTGATTGGCTGAAATCAATATTGAAAGCAGTCTAGATTTTCCCTTCTAGACCGGTCTTGAAAAAAAAGGTCAAAGAATATAAAAAATTGGCATATAAGACACAGCCATAAAATAAACATCTTATTAACCGAGCTAGGTCGGTCTGTATGAGAGAATCTTGACCTCGGTCGCTTGGTACAGACCTCACTGTGTTCAGTCTGTATTGGCTACCTTGGTCAAGATTCTCCCAAACAGACCTCCCGCTCGGTTAATAAGAACTAATCAGCACTGTTTAGCCTCCAAGGAGGCTCTCTTTTTGGATTTCCCCTTAAGGGAACAGCTGCCTATTGCACCATTAGCAGATGCTTATGGGAAAAAGCTATTGAAACCTCTTAGTCATTGCTTTGGGGAAGACATTCTATTCTCATAATCCCTTCCACTATCCAGGAATGTGAAAGGAGATCATAAAACTGTCACAAATACTTGACAAAGTGCTAAGAGGGAGTATACCTGCCACAGGCTAGAATCCTAGTTAGGGGTAATATTTCTACTCCAGACCCCCTAACCGAAACTCTTGTTCCAACTTAGCTTAGACTGAAGCCCATGCTGGAGAGCAGTTTTTGGCATGAGTATGTGCACTGTATTTGGTTTTTCACTGGATGTCACTTACCCTGATGCAGAAGTAAAATCTCCCCAATCAGATGTTGTACTCTGTTGTTGACTTTGTTGTGGAACTGTTGATGTGGAACCAAAATTTCCCAAGTCAGAGAAGTGAGACTGTTGTTGGAAATTAGGACTTGGCCTCCTCCCAGATGCAGGTGATGCCCCTGCCCCTGGGGGTGGTGCTAGCTTTGGAGCTAGACCCCCTGGGGGAGGGGGGATCACACCTAAACCACCTCCTGCTCTAAGAAAATAGACCAATATAAGCATATTTTTTTTAAGCACTTGGTAAGGCTACATATTGGTCTTTCTGATGTGTTTATAGTCAGGCAAGTGAATTCTATCAAGACAAGGTTGCTTTATGACAAAATCAAATAGTTAGTCCTCTTCATGACTCTATACATGTAAGTCCTGAGAATATCATTAATTATCTACCAGTTGCCAGTACGTCAAGCTGCCCCCCCCCAGTCCAGCCTCTGTCCCATTTTTCCCTTTCTATGGTTCTCCTCTGAAAGAATTTCTCTGTGTACAAAATCCAAGACTTTTTCCACTCAATTGCTTTAATTTTCCAGACTTTGAGTAAATATATCTTATTAGACGTTTTGTTGTGTAGTATCGCTGAGTATTTTTACGAGTTGTGTCGTATTTTGACGAGCCCATAGGGCTCGTCAAAATACAAATAACGAGTAAAAATACTCAGCGATACTACACAACAAAACGTCTAATAAGTTATTTATTATCCAACACGCCAAACTGTTGTTTCTGCAGGCGAATTTCATGGACATTTATTTACGGGAGTGCGTGACAGAAGTATGCGAAGCGGAACGGAATTGGTGCGTTGTTGTGTTGCTGTTTCTATTTTCTTCATTAAATGAAGAAATTTTCTGGTTGTCAAGCTGTTTTTCTTTGTTCGATTCATCAAATGAACTTGGATCTATATTTGCCAGCCATTCTGACTCTTCGTCGTCGGAAATATGATTGAAATTGTCCGCCACCTTTTTTTTTTCCGTAACTACAATCCAATTCTTCGCTTGCGCGATGCGAGAAAACCAGTTTAACCGGTACTTCAATAGACGAGTACAAATACCATGTGATATTTGTACTCGTCTATGGCGTTATTCATACTCGTCTAGGTGTAGTTGGATAATAAAGTCACATATTTTGAACATAACTGTGGTTGTTCAGGATCTATTTAAGTGCTGAAAGTCTATTGATTTCACACAAAAAATGGTTTCTGGGCATTATATCTGTCTGAAACTGGTGAAAGGCTCATCTTAAATGGGTTACTGTATGCATGTCACATCATACAAGTAACTTTAGAACTTCAGAACTTTATTCACACTTATTCTACTAAAAAAACACAACAGCAAGAAAGAAAAAAAGTAAAAAAAAAAGAAGAGAGTTCTAACTATACATGAAATTACACAAAGCAGTGGAAAGAGTGTGTAGTAGCCAAAGGAGCCAAGCTTTTGAGTTGGCTACTACCATAGAGCAGTTACAGATGGGTGGTGGTTGAATACTTAAGGAGATAGGACATACACAATATAGTTAAAATATATGAAAAAAAATTCTTCTTCAACTCCTTCCTCCATATATTTCAACACGAATAAGAATGCTCATTGATTCCACAAATTCACAATTATTGGAAAATTGTTCACTTACTAGTAAAAAGAAATCAATCATACCTGGCTTGGGCCGACTTGTCGCACTTGCACCAGGTGCACGATTCTGAAAGGTTCAAATCACATTACTTACTGAATGTACTTACTTACCGGTAAAACATGTCAGAAAGGAGCTACATCACAGTTGAGACAACTTGAAAAAGGCTGTCTTAACCCTCTCCATTCTTAGCACTACTTGTGCATTGTTTATCATTGCTCTTTTGTGTTTTCTGTCTCACAGTGCTAACATTCTACTGATCTCCTCAAGGTTGCAAGCAAAATGCCTTACAACAATGTGATACAATGTCAGTATTTCCTTCAGAGAAAGGACAAAGGGCCCGTGTCTAGCAACATGATGTGGTTATCAATAATAGAACTTTGTTTGAAAAGCCTCCAGAGGATAATGATTGATAAACAGCATGGTTGTGCAGTAACTGTTATGGTTTCCATGTTTTTAATCTGCTAAGTTTTTCTTTCTGTTTGGGGATTTTTTAGTGGGCACACATTCAGCTAAATGAATAAAGGCTAAAAGTTTCTAAAGAAACTGTGGTGCTGCGTCAGTGGGGTAACAATGTAATTTGGTTATGTCAACTCAGTTGAAATATGTAAATTGGCCACCATAATGAATAAAAAAGCTGACATTTCAAGCGTTAGCCCTTCGTTTCGAGTGTTAGCCCTCTGACGAAGGGCTAACGCTCGAAACGTCAGCTTTTTTATTTGTTACGGTGGCCAATTTACATATTTCAACTGAGTTGATATAACCAAATTACACATTTAGCTACATGATGCAGGGACAAGCCTAAAAACCAGTTTTCTTTGTCTAATATAGACAATTCTTGTAATATCTGTCCTCCACAAATGTGAAATGCGTAGCAGAGGGGAGAATTAACAACCAGATTTTGGAAGTTGAAGAAATTAGCTGTATTTCATAGCATACTCAATTACAANATGAATAAAAAAGCTGACATTTCAAGCGTTAGCCCTTCGTTTCGAGTGTTAGCCCTCTGACGAAGGGCTAACGCTCGAAACGTCAGCTTTTTTATTTGTTACGGTGGCCAATTTACATATTTCAACTGAGTTGATATAACCAAATTACACATTTAGCTACATGATGCAGGGACAAGCCTAAAAACCAGTTTTCTTTGTCTAATATAGACAATTCTTGTAATATCTGTCCTCCACAAATGTGAAATGCGTAGCAGAGGGGAGAATTAACAACCAGATTTTGGAAGTTGAAGAAATTAGCTGTATTTCATAGCATACTCAATTACAAGAGACCGTTCAACTCACCCCAAGGTTGATATGAATTGTTTGACCTTCTTTAAAGCCCAAGTCTAATTTTGGAGTAAGATCAGGTTGTTCTGCTTCTGCAGCAAGTTTTTCACTCTGTTTTAACCATCTATGTATGACAAAAGTTAGAGTAAATGTTATTTGAAAAGACCCAATACGGACTTTCAATCTTTATTTGATATACCATGGCCTATGAAAATTGATATTTTATTTAACAAGTATTTACCAAATATTATTTTTAACTGAAAATAGCTTTTAGGTAGGACCAGTACACAGTTACTACTAAATATTAACTTTTGGTCATAATGGTTGCCATAATGAAACTTCAAAAAAATAAAGATCCGGACAATTTTGCTGTGATACTGAAAATTAAATTAATTTTGCCCCTCAGAAAAAGAAAAATCAGGTGCCAATCACTCACCAACTGAGTAATACTAAGTGAAAAACATTTTACTCAAACACTGCTGGGGACTGGGATTGAGTCATATTATCTTTACTGGTAGATATTATTATTAAGATCTGTTTCCACCCCATGGTGACTTTTTCCCACTCACCCACTTACTTGACAGGTTTCAAGTTATTCTGTCCAATCATTAGTCTTGTCCATAAACTTTACCAATGGTATGATTCTCAATTTTTGCATGATATGCATGTGTGGTTTGGTTGAGTTTACAATAAAGATCATGTTGAAACAATGAGTCTAGAATGGTTAACAGTGGTCTTTGAGCAGTGAGCAACTTTTGATGTTTCTTGCTCAGCTCTTTCCCACCTTCTTCACCTCAAACTGAGATAGACATGTGGATAAGACTTTTGAATTACAGAGAAAATGATTGAAAAATAAAATCCTGCTTACTTAAAGTGATCTTGCAGTGCTACATTAAAATCGAAGCTATCTCCTCTGTCCGTGAAACCCATTCCAATAAAAGCATGGCGACCTGCAATCACAACCAAAACATTTTCATCAATGTATTCTATTCAAATGCTACAAATGAATGAATTTACAAACAAATTCATGTATGGACAAATAGCTGAATGAAAGATTGAATTTGGCTTTACCCTTTATACACTAACACAGTATCCACATTCTTCACACATTTCCTTTGTTACTGACAAGGAGAATTTGTTTAACAATCAATAAAAGCTTCTCAGGTTGAGGATGATTTTCTTTATTCTCAAGATCTTAATGAATAATTCAGCAATATTACTGTTGGGAGAAATTAAATTCTGGTCACCCTAAGGGTTTAATGGTCAGGAGAAATGTGCTTAACAAAAAAAAAATAATAATAATAAAATTTGCACCTAGTCTGCAAATACCTCAGAGTTAGCTCAGAATGCTTCCAAAGGGTTTAAACTCAGTTTAAATGAACATGGAAAAAATTAATTATGATTACTAAAAAATATGATTGTAGTATATCAAAATACACTGAATAACACATACCACTATCATCCACAATCTTTAAGACAAAGTAACGACTGCTATCTAGAACACCTTCCACTGCAATCCCTGGGTAATCATCTACAGGACACTTAGCAAAGAGTTCCCCTGTAAACAAAAATAACAGGCTGGAGTAGAACCTTAAACCTTTACCTCCCATGACCCGATATATTACACCCACCTCCCCCCCCCCCAGTTACTGCACATTTCCTTGTAAACTAGTTACAAGAATTTGGTGTTGGATCAAAACAACAACTTCAAACTGATGAGTTTGAGATTTCTCTTCAAATATTTTCTGTATAATGTATGGATAATATAAGGAGAAGTTACTTGTTAATCACTTCTGGGAGCTAAAGGGTTAAGGTTGGCTAGTTTTTCTATAATCACGCTTCCATTTGATAGTACAATAATTGTGAATTAAAACTAACTTTACTGTTTGAAAGAATATGTGAAGTAAATATTGCAAACACCAATCTGTTCTTAGCTGTCTTCCAGGGGCTTTAATAATTTTTGTCTTTCAGTGCTTGCCAAAGGAGTAAAAAGGCAGTTTTGCCCCAAAATGAGCTGTCAGGTGAAATCTAAAAACAAGAACTTGCTCAAAAGTGGTGGTAGATTTAATTAATTAAAAGTTAAAACTATTATTTAACATATTAATAATATTATTATTATCAATAATTATTAATAATAATAATAATAATATAATTATAAATATAATTATTAATAATAATTATTGTTATATTATTATATTATATTATAAACATATTAATAATAATAATTAATTTCAATTTTTAATTTTATAATCTTTTAGTAATATTATTATAAATTATCAAAAGGAGTAAAAAGGCAGTTTTGCCCCAAAATGAGCTGTCAGGTGAAATCTAAAAACAAGAACTTGCTCAAAAGTGGTGGTAGACTGCTAGTAACTAGCACTGAATTGAAATCACTGTTCCTTCCTCTCTATTTACCTCTAATATTTCTATCACAATTTTTAACTTCAATACCTCACACCTTCTGCCTGATATTATATTCCCTACCTGCATGTTGATTAATAATCATAGAAGTCACCTCTAACTGATACAACTCACCACTTGTCTTGTCCTCAATCTTGATGTAACACTCCTTTCCCTTGGCACAGACCCTTAACCTTCCAGTCCAATCTGGCTGATCAAGTTTCCAGTCTGCAGCTCTGTGAAAGCAAGAAATTAACAGTTGAGCAAAGAGACCTATACTGCTACAGCTTAGTACAGAGTTTGTAGAAGGAACCAACTGTGAGTATTTCTTCTACTCTTGGATGGGATGTTAATCCATGATAAGTTACCAACCAGATTTACAAACTTTTCTTGTGTTCTGACCCATAATAGTGTAAATTAGGTAAAGTCTGTTTATGAGCCAAGTGGCCCATCACGCTGGCACTCAACTCCTGTTTTTGGAGCATAAAGCCACTAAGAGTATTTCTACTCCCCCCTGGATAGGACATTAGTCCATCCCAGGGTTAACCCCACCATTTACTGCCTCCTGGTTAGCTCAATTGGTTAGAGCCCAGGACTGTGTTGTGCAGGAGGTTGAGGGTTCGAGCCCCGGCTGGACCAATACTCATGGTCTTAAAATAAGTGAGGAGAATTTGTTACCTTTCTAAAATCAAGAAATGGATAGATATTCTAGTCTTCTCGGATAAGGACGAATAAACCATAGGCCCCGTCTCCTGCAGGGTTAGGGGTAGGAGAAGTTAATTTCCCACGCACAAGATTACTGTGTGGTGGATGTCCTCCCCTGGATGGGATGGGTGGGAATTGGCCCTGAAAAGCCCCTATGGGGAGTGGTCAATTAACCTATGTATGTATTTATGTATGTATGCATTAACTTCCCTGGAACCCATTTATTCCCCTAAATGAAGAGAGGCACTGTGAGAGTAAAGTGTCTTGCCCAAGAACACAACACAATGTCCCCAGCAAAGGCTTGAACCTGGACCACATTAAATGGAGTTGAGTGTATCAACCATGAGGCCACTGCATCTCTCCATAATAGGATACTAGGCCAGTAAATAGATAGATAATACAGTCTACTTCTTAAGGAGAAGGCAAATAGTAAGAAAAATATATTGTTTTATCAAAGATC